ACGATTTTTTTTTTTAATTAAAATTATTTAATGAAAACGTATTCAAGGAATACGTTTTTTTAATTAATTTTTTTTGAAAAACGTATTCAAGGAATACGTGTGTTTCATGCTTGTCCACTCCCTTTTTTCTTTATTTTTTTTTGTCCACTTAATTTCTATATTTTTTTTAAATAAATTACCCACAATACTCATGTACTACACGAATATTTGTTAAAAAATATATTATTATTTATATTTAAAATAACAACGTCACGTGCATCATCTTATAATATATATATATATTATATATTTTTAATCTATGCGAGATATTTACTTTGTAATTAAGTTAGTTTAAATAGCTCTATTTTCTTAAACTAATATTACCATGGAAATTAATTTTAACATAACGATAAATAAAATTATTTATTTATTTTGTATGTATTATCGGAGCTCATCAAGATATTATTAATGATATATTATATATAAAAGATTGTCATTATGATATGAGATATCATACCCAGTAGAGCAAACTCAATAAACAGGCCAACTGGGTCGAACGAACCTGTTGGTTGAAGTAGAGCTGCAGGAAGGTCGAGCGCTTACGTTCAGGTCGAAGGAGCGTGAGGGGTTTAAAGGGTAGCTGCAAGTCGAACGGCCTCTTAGAAACTTGACCTGTAAGCATGATTGGTCGAATGATCGAATAAAAGATAACATTTAGACTCAAAACGATCTTCATTATACATCAACAGAGCTCGAGTTGGTCGCATAATTAGGCGGTCTAATACAAAATACAAAGAGATAAGAAGGAATCTTAAGAGGATAAGAGTCACATGTGCATATGGCCCTGTGGCCTAAAAGAAATGGGCAGTTTGGCAGTTTTGACAATACGAACGGGTAGTTTGCCCACTCGAACAACGTTGGGCAACAATGTGTCAACTCCCTATATAAGTGAGTGAAGTATGCCCTTTACGATTTAACACATTACATACCCCATTCTTCCGTGCACTTCATCTTCTATCAGCATCGGAAACTCTTTACCGAAAACCCTTTAGGTGTTAGAATTTTTGCAGGTCTCAAGTCGTTCAACTAGCGAGGAACTCGAGTCTGGCCGATCTCCAGCCGCTCGGAGATCTTTTGCTATCACATTTAAATTTATTTTTAATATTTTTTAACTTTTAAAATAAATTTCATTAAGATTTTGCATAAATGTAAATTATATGGATTAACTTTTTATAAGGTAATTTCAATAAAGATATTTAATATTTTTTATTATATGTACTTAAAATTTAAATTTTAAAATAAGAGTACTGTGCTTTACATAAATATATATGTTGAAATACAAAGTTAGTTAAGTCTTAAATATAGAACTAAAATGTAAAAGTAAATTTTTAGTTGCGATAACTTAAAATTAAAACATTGAGAAATTTGAAAATTCAAATAATATTACACAATACCAAAAAATCTTATAATAAAATTTCCCACTTAAATAGCCTAAAATAAATAATCTCTCATCAATATATGGTTTCCGATGGAATGAAAAATTTGACGAGCTTAGTTGAAAACTTTCCGCTACCTTCCCCATGAACCCACCACCGCCACAGCCGCCGCTACCCACGGTCGCCGTCGATTTCCCTCCATCTCACACTTCAAGTTCCCGGCCTCCACCACCTCCACCAAAGCCAACACCACCTCCACCCTTATTTTCCGCTGCCCTATCCAATCTCACCTCACTTCTCCACCTTTCTACCACCGCTCTCCGTTCTCTTCCCGCTCCCATCTGTATCGCCGCCGCCTCTTCTCCCTTCCTCCTATGCCCTTACAATCCCAACCACCGTCTTCCTCCTTCATCCCTTTTCTCCCACTACCTCAATTGCCCTTCCCAACTCCCTCTTCCACACACTTTCCAGTATCATACCACTCTCCAGTCGGCCACCCCATATTCTCTCTCCACCACCTCATCCGATCTCACCCTCTCTCTCGACGATTACATAGCCTACAACTCCAATTTCTTTTACAAAAACTGTCCCGGCCCTGTCACGCTTTCTACTCCGCCGTCCCCGTTGCTAACCTTACCTAGGGATTTGTATATCGAGTGTGGCGACTTCATTGTTGATCCTCCTGCGAAAGAAGCTGCGAGCCACCCAGTGGACTTTATTAGGTTCCTTCCTTCCGAAATTTCGGCGATTCAGAGTGAAACCGAAGCCTGGGGTGCTGGTTTTCCGGCTGTGTATTCTTCTAGAATTTTGCGTGCAGTTCTGAGGTTGAGAGATTGTAATCTATACCGCTTGAACGACTGGATTGTATCTAATTCTCCTAGACACGGTGTGATAATTGATTTTTCCATGAGCGATCATGTGGTTCTGTTGGTTAGGTTGTGTTTAAAGGCGGTTGTTAGGGAGGCTTTCATGTCGGGGGGTTTTATGTTTGGAAACAGGACTATGGCGACCCAGAGTTTTGAGTGCTCAGTTTTGGTGAAAGTGATGGCTTGGTTGGCTTTGCAGTTTTCTGTATTATATGGCAGTGTTAATGGGAAAATTTTTGCTGATGATGTGTTGAAGAAGTGTATATTGGACTCTGCGTCGCTTGCATCTTTGTTTCCATTAGAGCAAAATGATACCAAATTTAGTGATTTTGAGAAAGATGATTGTGAGGGGCAAGAGCTGGTGCAAAGTATTTCGACCATTGATGACACTCAACCAGATGAGGAAGAGAATGTAAAAGGAAAAACAGTTGGGAATTGTATGATATTTTTGCCTCAAGTGGCGGCGGCTGTTGCAGCACTACATGAACGATCATTGATTGAAGAGAAAATTAAGTCATTACGCAAATCACGGCCAATTTCTGCTTATGAACGGTATTGCATAATGTTTTCTTCTTGAGTTAGTCACTGTGAACACCCTGACAGTTCCCTGATAATAATAATAATGATGTATGTGTCGTCTGTGATTTTCTTATGCAGCCTATATGTAGAACTTCCGAGTATGCACATTTGACTTATCGTTTTTAGGTTTAACACATCGTTCTCTGTTTCTGGAACCAGAGAAGAAACATCATCGTGACACTGCTATAAGTTCTGTTTTGAGGCTTGAACTATGTTTTTTTTTATTCTTCCCAATCTTGAATATGTGTTCGTAGTATTGGCTGGGTATTGTTTAATCGTGTTTGTCGATGTCCTCTTCTTGTTATTAGGATGCTTGGTAAATCACTTTTTCTTTCAGTTATTTGTGTTATTCATTTGAAGGGGTGACGTGGTGTCTGAGATTGAAACTTCTTTTTTGGGTATAATTATGCAGCAATATGGAGCATGCATATTTGTCCAAGATGGCTGCTGAGGAGCGAGCAAAACGTCCCGAGTATAGACCTATAGTTGAACATGATGGTTTTCTCCGGCAAAGGTCAAATAACGAGGTAATCTATGCAAGAAGACTGTCTATTGTCTTTGTGATGTCTTTCATTTGCTATTCATCTGTCAGTTGTAGCCGTTAGTAATGCTTCTACTATATGAAAATTAGTGCAATAAGTAGCAAATGAGATGTGGCATAGTATTATAAAGGTATAAGTCTAATAAACTAGAATATATGCCACAAAGTTCTCGTATATGTCCTGTTTGTTTATGATATATTGATTTCCTTAAGCTAAATGTAAAATAGCGAGCTTTAGTTTCTACTACCCAATTATAGTGTTTGAAACATTTATAATTGTAAAAAAAATCTGGTTTGGGTGCTACAAGTTCAGCTTTTCGTGTTTTTGTTTCTTGTGTAATGTTTGCCACATCCAAAATTTTCTAAAAAGGTAATCATTATTTTTGATAGCTTTCTTTGAGATGTTTGAATATTATTTTTTACGTGTAGATCTTTGTGTTAATTGCATGTGGAAGGAAGATAAATTTGATGTTTGGCATAATTTCTCATGATAAATATTGTTGTTCAACTGCTCCAGAAGCTATTTCAAATGAGCAGCATCTTCACTCCATCCTGAAATTTCAGTTTCTAAATTCAAATTTAATCATCCATTTTCTAAAATAGCGATTCACTTTCAAAGTTGCCTTATGTCTTATTCTCTGGTAAGGCTTTAAAGATACTTAAATAAAGTTCAGGGTTTCATTTAGAACCCTTTGCATGTTAATTAGGACCATAAACTCTGGGCAGAATTTTTTGATAGATTTGATGATGCCTATACCATTACTACCATTACTATTCTTAAATTTTGGGTTGACTGGGAGAGAGAGTCAGTTTTACTGTTACTTTGGTTATTATATTAGTTATTTATGTGATCTTTCAGGCCAATAAGGAAAAGACGCCGGAGGAATTATTAGCTGAAGAAAGAGATTACAAACGTCGGAGGATGTCATATCGTGGCAAGAAATCCAAACGAAATACATTAGAGGTAAGGTTGTTGCTGTTACATTTTTGTTTTACTGAACTTGAACTACTAACTTTCATTTAAATATTCTGTATCTGTCATTAAAACTGTTGGCTGAAGTTGGTCTATCTAAAAAGTAAAGCAGCTAGGACATTGAGTGGGTAAGCTTTATGATGCTGAAGTTCTCTTTGTTGGAGACTGATTGTATGTATTCATAATATGATAAAGATGACATCAATGTTAAGAATATTTTATGCTGATTATTTTGGGAGCCTTAATCGTGCTTAATCTTATGGATTTTAACTGATTTAATATTCCTCATATGCTATTACTTTTCTGTCCCTTATATTTCTTATTACCATTTTATATTAGCTATAGTTTAGTATATAAGATTGGGTTGTCAAAAGGATAGTATAAAGAGATTTGTTTTGTAACACCCTGCCTAGACTTATTAAAATCAGAGTAAATTTTTCGCGCTATAAATGGAAAGCGGTGATTTAATTTTCGAAACTCATACTAATTTTTCAAAGATACTTTAACTTCAATACGGAATGTTACTTTAATCTTTATCTCTTTAATCTAACATGCATGCGACTAAGTAACATTCATTCTAGAATTAAGGTTATGAAAATTTACTGGAATTACACATGCATTCTGAAATACTCAAATACTGAAATACTGTCTGAAATACTGGAATACTGAAATATTGACATACTGTTCTGACATTCTGAAACATAGTTTTGAAATGCGGAAGCAAAGATAGTTCTGAAAGCACACACAAGCATACATAAACATGCAATGACAAAAGATAGTTCAGACATGTTCAAATAACTAAATGACATGTTCAATAAATATATACTGGCTGATGACCACCACCACATATCCGCTCACGCTCCACGCGGGTCTCTATCACCTGAAAAATAGTGTAGTGGGGAGGCGTGAGCACAAAGGAATCAACGGTGCTCCGCCGGAACCGACACTGAATACTCAGGACATTTAATAACAAACTATGAAATCAACATATATATGAATAAACTGGTCTGACTATGAGACTAACGATAAACCGATACTCATGTGCACACTCTAGGGTTCCCTCCCACATAAATTCAGGAAAGACACTAATCACCTCATCTGGATGCTAGACTTAGGAAGGGCCCTAATCACACACATCCAAGTCATAACTGAAATACTGAAGTATTGACCAAAACGGGATCACTCATCCGTCTCGGTCCTTCAATTTAATCACATATAGATATCAGACATGGTAAATTATTAAAAGGGTACATGGCCCCCACCTGGAAACTGGAGAATGCAAATGCCGAAAATGCTGAAATGGGTAGCTGACGGAGACTCGACTCTCCTCAAGCTACAAAATATATTGAGCTAAACATTCTAAGTACTGGGCTCAGAATAAAACTCAAATCTTTAATATCTTATTGTCTAGGTTCCATCACTATGCTTTAAAAATCATTTTAGGGATTTACGAGCTGATTTTAAAAATATTATTGTCTTTGAGACATTTTAGGGTTATCTGAAATATTTCTAAGTCTGGAACTAAAATTTGACTTAATTAAATATTTAAATCTGACTGGGTTATAATCTAACTAGACTTGAGTCTATCTAGAGTTGAATCTATCTGAAATATATATCTGGAATTTTATCTCTGAAATTCTATCTGAAATATATATCTGAAATTCTATCTGAAATCCTATCTGAAATTCTATCTGAAATTCCTCGAACCGTCTGGACTGATTTGGTTGAACTAAAATTCTCTTCGAACCGTCTGGACTGGTTCGACTGAACTTGACCGACGACTCACTCGAAGCCGATCGATCATTCGCTTGACTATGTGCAGCTCGGTTTAACCGTGGTCCGGGTTCGACGTGGCAACGCGGGTCGGCACGAACTCGACTGACACGGCTTAGCCGATGCACGGGTTTGAAACGGTGCCACGGTCACTGACGCAGGGGCGTGTTTGAACTACGGCTAAGGGGTACGGCGCGTAGACTGTAGACGGATGGACTCGGTGCACGGGCACGCACTCGGTGGTTTGACTCGAACTCGGTGCACGGGCACGCACTCGGCGGTTCGGCTCCAACGGTCGGACGAGGGTCACGTGCGCGAGACGACGATACGTGTTAAGAATTATTGTTACGACGTCTAAAAATTATTTAAACAATACTAGGGTTCCGTCAATTATATTCGGATCCGAAAAATACCCATTTATCGGAACTGGATAAAACTAGGGTTTTGATATCGAAATCCTAACTCATTTAAGGCCGATATTAAAAATATAAATTCTATGTGATTTATAATGAATTTATAATCCACAACTGCAGCAATAATCGCAAACGAACTAATATTCTATATTCATCGTATTAACGGCTAAAGTCTCGATTTTTAATCTTGGTCAAACGACATCCAAAATTAACAAAATTCGAAACATTGCATTCTCAACATACATATAGTCCATGGTCAAAGTATTAAGTCTAAAGTCAACTCCTAATTCAATCAACACATTCGACCGGCTCGTTTGCCTATCAAACGAAGTCCGAAAATTCTCAAATTTGCACCTAGGCCTCAAGACAACGCAACGAATTTAATGATATTTTTACGACATTTTATCACATTTATCGAAAAATCCCGATAAATTCGCTTTAAGCTCATATTTTCGGATTTAACCAAATACGCTCAAATCATCATTTCAATATCTCTTATATCATTTAACCATCAAGTCTAAGCCATTAAAGTCGGGATTAAGCGATTATACCTCAAATCGTGCGAATCGAATGGATCGGAAAATAGATCGGGCTAAAGAGTGAAAAAATGGAGCAACCCGGTTCGACTAGGGGTTGCCCGGGTCGGATCTCGACTATGGAGTTGCTGAACGGGTCAGTTTTGGGTTGCTCGGGTCGGGTCCGAGGAGCTGGGCACGGATCCAGTCGGGTTTCAGTGCAAGGTGGCGGAAGGGAGCGCGAGCTCGAGCTTGGGAGGCGCTCGTGGAGGCGTTAGCTCGCGGGTGTATGAACGCTGGACCTCTGCGGGTGCGGGAAGGGTGGCTGGGAGCTCGGTTTTGCTGCTGTAAGGCCGTGTAGAGATGGGCTAGAGTTTTCTCGTGTTTGGGTGTAGGAGAATGAGGGTGTTGGGTATTTATACCCCAACACAAGATTAGGGTTTGCCTTGCATCTTGGACTATTTTCTTGGGCTTTGACTTAAAATCGGGCTAGAATATTAATCGACTTAGGCCGAAGATAATATTGGGCTCGGTATTAACATACTACGAGGGCTCGCTATTTAAAATATCGTTGGGTCTTGGTAATTAATTCGACTACTCGAGTTAAAAATGGGCCGATTAATTAAAATAAATTCCCGACCATTCGATAAAATAACTTATCGTAGCTTCGAGAGTTCGCTCTATGCAGTTAGATGTCGTCGAGTCACTCCTACGATGCCGGTAGTGGGAGGTGTTCGGTCAATTGTAAGATATAATCCTGCAGTTTCCTTGTTAGTAAAGTGCAACTTCCTTGCAC